CAACTTCCACCACCATCCATGTGGAAACTTGCCTTGTCCTCCTCACTGGCCGTGCCGCAAGTTCTTCTCAAACATTTCTTACATTTCCTTTGTGCCACAGTCAGCTGTGAGTTGAGAATCACCTTCGCGGAGTTCCGGCTGAAGGGCCATCCGCACACAGATGTCCAGGCTTCAATGGGCACATCCCAACCTGCATCTTCAACTTGGTGCCACACACGTTCTCGGGAATTGTATGCTGTCGAAGCCACCCACAACTTCTTCGGCAGTGTCGTGACCACCACATTGCATTTGTCCACGTTTCTGTTTTGCTCCTCCGTGACCGCGCCGTGTGAAGGTGACACTGCAGGGGGTTCAGGAGCTTCATCTATTGCCCCGGCTGGTTTGTTTCCCTGACTTTTGGGTGGTCTTTTGGGCTTGCAGTCATCGTTCGACTTCAGGTTCCTGTTAGCCGGTTCTGATTGCAATGCATCTTCTGCATAGGTGAGCACCACTGACGACTTCCATCGTCCCAGGAATGCCAACTCTTGTATAGGCATGCCCAGTCCAACGTAGCCCATCGCACCTGATCTCCTGGCTGAGTGCCCTTGAATGTCAGGTCTGGTCACCATGGCCCACCCCTCCACCATCAACGCTTGCGACAGCCTTTTGTTCTCGGAGTCCTGGAAAACGAATTCCTGTGGATCTCTTTGTTCTCCACGAAGGGCCTTCCACAATTCCATCCATATTCTCCAGGGGCACCATCTTTGGCAGGTTCTGAACGAGCAGCACTGCAGAGTCCTGCGAACTCCCAACGCCTGTTGGTCACACTTGGATATGGGGATGAAGACGGAGATTCTCTTTCTGACCCAGTCCGCCGTGATGTCCTTCCATCTCATGGCGCTGACTTCGATCTCCCTCAACATCCATATGACCGCCCAGGCGTATGACAGCGCTGGTCTGATGGTCCTTTTGGGGCCGCGACATATGAGGATCCACTTGATGTGCTCGATGTCATCCAGCTTGAACTCGGGTGCTCTTCTCACTGGTCCTCTGTTCCTCTTGAGCGATCTTTTGCAGTCGGCCATCGCCCTATGCAGTTGTTGGCTGACATCCCAGCCGGCCTCGATGTGCATCAACTTCAACTCGTTGATGTACTGATCTCCCGAGGTCCAACCCACAGCCTTTATCGCCGCTGCCACATTCTCCACCGTCTCGATCTTCAGCGGGAAGGGTCGGCATCCTTGCCCACAAGCCTCCATGGCCATTGACAAGACTTGTTCTCTCTTGGTTTTCTGGGATGCCCTGGACGAGTCGGCCATGAAGTCCTTCCTCAGCTCTTGTCTAGCCTTGGCCAACCTTTCCTTGCCCTTCAGAACGTCCATGACCTCTTCAAATGAACCTCTCTTGGCGGCTCCTTTCTTCTCTTCCAACTCTTCTCGAAGTATTGCCGCGTCACCTGCCTCTTGCTCCTTGGGTTTGACCCGCTTCAACTCCTCAAAATGACGAGCTTCACCATGCACTCGATTCCGAATTAACTCATTCATGCAGTTCGAGGGGTCCCTGAATCTAAAGCTCATCACCCCCATAGTCCTTCTCGTGTTCACTGAATGCGGGATCCACGTCGCAGCATGGGCCCCGGAGCCACTCCACCAAGGCGGTGCATGTCGTGCAATTCCTGCACCACGGGTTGAGCTCTCTGTACCATGGCTTCGAGGATCTGTGTACGAGCTGCTTGTGCCTCTGGAGATCTCCCTGGGGACACCAAGCTGGGATCTGCTGACCTTTTCTTCTCTGGGGTGATGCTGATTTGCCTTCTCCTTGTTCGTTCTCTCGATGGCGATTGGTCTCTTCTCGGCTCCTCTTCCTCGCTTGTTCTGCCACACTGAGAACATACTTTCACTCCCAAACTCTGTTCCTGGGTTTTCTCCGCCCCGTCTTTGCTTCCTGGTTTCCGCGGAGTGATATGCCAGTGTAGTGCACTCCACAGGCCCTTCAGGAGGCTCAGCAGAAAGAATGCCCAACCGGCCAGCACTGCGTATTCGCCGAAGGACCACGGCGAGGCGTCGTCCCTTAGGGCCAGGTCAGGCGTCGACACCACCATAACTTGAGCCATGATGGGCTCGCCCGGCGCTTATCGAGCATCCTGTCTGTCACCGTCGATTGAACGAAGGACATCACAGTCCTTGACCGACGAACTCATACCGACTCCCCCCCCCCCCCTTCCCTCGGTCGACTCCCTCAAGCCGAGAATGATGGACGAATTTTTCATCCTCATCCCTTCAGAGCAGCTCGAAGGCTCCCGAGGTCTGCTGGGCCGAGGCTCCCCACAGTTGTGGTGCCATCCCGGGCGGGGACAGGTATGATCGGTGCATCAAGTTCCTTGGGAAAGACTTGATGGGCACCTTTTCCAGCCTCTCAGGTTTTGCTCCTCGCTCATGAGGTCGTGAGAGCCAATCCGCCTCCACGTTCCAGTTGCCCGGAATGTGCTGCGTCACCACCCTCTTGATGCCTGCCTTCTCAAACCTGATGGCCAATTCGGCTCCGACCCAGTTCACCACCGGTGATGGCGATGACAACCGCTTGGCCATGGCCAGAGCTACCACACTGTCGCTGCGCAGCACGATGCTCTTGCCTTCCAATTTGGTGGCCCACCTTCTCACTGCCAACTTGACCGCCCATGCTTCCAGTGGCCCTTGCGATGCCGACTCTTTCCACGGCACTCTCAACCACTTTGCGTCAGCCTCTTCCAGTGGGATCTCCAGCCCTTCGATGATAGTGAATGTTGGCCCCATGGTGTGGTCTACCGTCGCCAGCAGTGCGCCAATCCCCTGAGGGCTGGCGTCCGTCACGATGGCATAGTCGGGCAGCAGCTCCACCATCGGCTCTGTCCTCAAGGCCAAGACCTCCGGCTCCTTGAACAACGTTACAAACCACTTCCTTGGGAGCTCCAGTCGTTTGACTGCTATGAGCCCCACCTTGGGTCTCTGGTCCACGCGCTTCGCTGCACGTTGCCTTTCTTCATCTTCGGAGCGCTTGGCATCAGCGAGCACGGCATACATTATCGAGACAGCCCACCGGGTTCTCGGGAGGATGCCCGCTATCCATGAGAGCCTCCCGGTCAGCTGCTGCACCTCCTTGAAGCTCACCATCCCTTTCGACTCCCATGCCTCCAAAGCTTGCGTCACCTCGGCCATCATCTTCTTCGGCACCGTGAGCTTGACTACTGCCTCCGCCTGGATGACCTCAAACATCACCCCGATCCAGGATAGCTGGGTTCCCCGTGACCCCTTGTGCCACGCCAAGTTGATGCCCAAGGCTCGTGCTGTATACAATAGGAGGGCCAGGTTTCTGTTCCTTCTGGAAGTCGGACCGCGAAGAATCCACATTGGATCATCCATGTAGAGCTGACTCTGCAACTCCGATGGCGCGATGAGTGATTGCCAAATCCTCGCCAGGCAAGCAGCAAACCTGCCCATCAATAGAGGAGCACCTTTGAAGCCAAAGAGCATTGCGACCCACATGAGCGTTTCGGATTGATGCAGCCCTGGGCTCAAGCAGTTCGCGTGCTCGTCAGGGTGAACCGGCAAGTGGCAGTAGGCATCACTCAGATCTGCCGTCACCAGTTCAAAGTCGAAGATGCCCCCCTCCGGCCGGTCCTCATCAAGCTCCCACTCCTCATCTCTCGACTTGCTCTTCATGCGGTCCCTCGTGCTCCACAGGTACCTGAAGCCATCTATCACGTCCACCACCCTTGGCAGCACGATCCGCTCCGGCACCTTGCATCTGGCGTTTCCGCCTGACCGCAGCAAGTCTATGATGATCCTCCGCTTGACGCTGCCATCCTCCTTGCTCTTGATCAGGAGCGCCAACTTCGACACGATGCCCCTCTTGTGCACCTCCTGCGCCTTTGCCGTCGGGAGGACCACCGCGAAGCCTTCTTCCACCAGCCTTGACAACTCCGCCCTGGCGTGCGCTGGCTCCTCGGTGAAGGACTTATAGTTGACCGCGCCCAGTTGGTCCGCCAGTTCAGGCATCTCTTCCATGTCCAATTCTGGGTCGTCCGCCAACGGGAAGATGCCACAGCATGGAATTTCCTTACTCATGCCCAGCGGAACCCCCTTGCGAATCCATTCTACCAGGTGCTTCTCTGGGTCCGCCGCCGCCCTCAGCCAAGCATCCCATAACTCCGGGTCCAGGGGTGACTCGAACTCATACTTGTCTTTGAGGATGATGTCGGTGAAGGCCCTCGTTTGGAAGAACTGCTTCAAAGCACCTTTCCACATCATCTCGATCTCCATGTCCGGCTTATTTCCACCCGACCCGTAGTTCTTGGCGATGTCCAGCGCTCTCGGGTATTCGTACACGAAGCGATCCCAAATCCGAGACACGTCCATACCCACCTGCCTCACTCTTGACAGTCGTTCTACAGCACGTCCCGGATTCCTCATGCCACCAATGAAGCGGTCGTTCTCCTCCTCTCTTCTCGCCTTCTTTGACATGCCGAGCTGTGGCCTGGTGTCCTGTGAAACTTGAGTTGATTCCCACACCCGCTTCGATGGGTCAGCCGCAGGTCGTCCATCGGGGTGTCCCTGGTAAACGCGCTCCTTGCTCAACAACCATTTACGTTTCAACTCGGACACCTCTTCAGTCTTTGTGGCCAGCCTGTTGCGCCAGTACTCCAGCTGCAGCGTGTGCTTGAAGGCAGTGATGACTAGTTTGCAGTACTCTTCACACAGCATCTTTGGATACTGCGCTGCTTGGGCCGTGCGCTTCGATCCCACCAATGGTTCGTGTCGGATCCATTGGCCGCAGGTGCAGGGTTTGCTCATCGTCTCCAAATTCCACAACCGCCCAGCCCAGCGCCCAGGCTTGTACCACCTGACGCGATCTTCTCCTTGGTACGCACAGGTGTTATAGTCTGCCACTTGACCCTCGAACACTTCCATGAATGTCTTGACCTCCGGCAGTTCCCAGGCCGGTCCTTCTTCTTTGGTGTCACTTCCTGGAGGGTTTTCTAAAAGTCCCGGCCTGAGGTACTCTGCGTTTCCGCTGGTCCTTCAACACGGCCCCGACGATTTCCACCGACCTCGAAGCCAGCAAAGTTCCCACATCAGCTTGTTGTTGCTCCTCCGGTGAGTTCGACGGCAAGCCATAGATGTGCTGAAGTGACCTGATGGGGGGAGGACCTCTGTTGACCATGTTCCATCTCGCACGACTGAACGTGTTGCAAGGAAACCCCGCGTGCACTGCATCGAAGGCTGATGCATTCGCCTCCTCTCTAAGCTCCATGAACGGGTGGTCCTTGGTTAGGTCAACATCTCCCTCGCCCTGCTTGTCCAGGCTGTAGACCTCCAGCTGCAAGCCCTCTCGCTTTGCCATTTCACTGAGGCATTTGCTGAGCACATCCTCCTTGCCACTGAACATATGGAGGAACCTGAACTTTCTCAGCTCCTGGTACTCCGGGAAGTCCCTGGCTGCCTTGAGGGCGTCGCTGATTCGCTCGGGCAAGTCATCCACACTCGGCTGGTCCAGGCTCCTGCTAGATCCCGCCATGTCGCCCGACCTAAGCCCGCGAACTCCTCGAGCCCTGGCTGTCCGGCGTCACACGAACTCCGTCCTGTAGTCCAGTCCGAGTCTTCCGCAACGATTGAGGCGACACCTCAAACACGACGTCGATCCGACCACAAAACGCCCCTCGAACCGCCCCCCTCCTCACCCCGGCTTCGACACGAACGCGTATCTGCCCATCCCCTCTCGCATGACACAAGAGGTCAACCGCACCCTTTATCCCACGGCCCCTTCAGGGTCACACAGGGGATGCGGTCTTCTTAGGACACTCCGCATTCGGGTGAGAAGGTGAGAGGCACAACATGCACTTGTGCACCCGCTTGACTTTGCCTTTGCATTCCGACCCCGCTGCAAGGCCTGCACATGCGCCGACATTCTTTGCCCAACTGTAACAGATCTCCTGACCTGCCTGGTCCTTACCCTTGCCTTTGCTCTTGCCCTTGTTGAAGTCCCCCTTGGATCTCTGCTCCCTGAAGTTGGTCAGCTCCTCACGCTCGGCTGCCCACCGCTTGCGCTTCGCCGACCTCTTATCTCTGTTGGCCTGTCTCCTGCGTTCGCTTCTCTCCTCCCCATCCCCATGTTCTGCAGGAGGTCCCGGATGATGAGCTAAAGCCATAGCTTCTGCCGGAGGTCTGGGGGATCCGTGCGATCCGCTGGCCAACCATGCCGCCGCCGGATGTCTCACCTGCTCGTTCCAAAAGGTCTCGTCCAACGCCAAGGCCCTGAAACAAGCAGTCCAAGGTTCCTCTTCCGAGAATTCCCTTGGGGGAGGCCTTCCGGCAGCTATGTCGAGGACCACTGATCTCCTGATCTTCTCCAACTTCTCCGCTCTAGCCTTATCATCGGCCTGTGCAATGAGTCCCCAAGCCTTTGGCCACTGGAGCACCAACTTCTCGATGACCTTCTCATAGAGCTGTAGTGCCGCCAGCGTCACAATGTTCAAACAAATGCACGCTGCCTTAAACACTCTCCAGCTCACCAACCATTGTTGCAGGTTCTGCGGACCGGGGAGCTCCTTCATGATGAACGAACCATCACCTACCGGTATGAAAGCACGAAACTTCTGGTTCTTGAGGACTCTCCTACCGAAGGGCAGCCACACCGAGAAGTCGACATATGGCGGCTGCTTTTGAACAGCCACTCTATGGTGAAGTGCGGCCAACTGGGCATCTGTGGGCTCTTCTTCCTCTTGAGGTGGAGCTCCCATCACGGCAATATACCGCTGGGACCATTCGTTGAGCTTCAAGGCATCCGGCAACCTCATCTCTGAATCATCGGTCTGGCCCACCAGGTTAGCCATCTTCAAGAGGTTCTCCTTACTGCCAGATGCACTGCTCACTGTGGGCGCCTTCGTCAAGGCTCCTACTCCTGTCGCATCATGTCCGTCAGGAGGTCCACCGCTGCTTGGCATAGCCCATGGATCGTTATCAATGAACTTGTCTGCATCTCCACCTCCTCTCAGGTGTATGACCCATCTAGCATTGCGCCAAACCAACCCCACTTGAGCCGCCTGTATGGGTGTGAGCCGCTCGCCATCATCTAAGGTTGCTGCTCCGACTATCTGCGGAATTGTCCAATGTGGCATCGCTGCCACCAGCCTGACATCGTTGCCAGGGTCCCCTGCCACGTGAGTGAAGGCAGTCCAAATGCGGTCAGGCACTGTCAGAACATTCAGGAGGTCCGGGATCGTCACGATGCTAGCGGCTTCTCCCTGCTCCAACAGGACCATAGGGGCTCGCGCGTCACCTCCAAAGCGAAAACAGGAGGTGACATCCAAGGCTCATCTTGAGCCTTGCAGCTGAGGGAGATTGTCATCCCTCCCACCCTCCAAAAACATTAGTTGCCCTGTTATGTCAATCAGCTCTTGCAGAGCTTCTACCTAATAGCCAATAGCTTTTTGTTACTACTAGTAAGGCACCTGTTACTACTAGCGTGGCACTTGTTACTAGTAGTAACAAGAAGCTATTAGGAGCTTTTTGGATCCCTTTTTGACCCTTCGTGATGGACGAGCACACGACCTTCGCCGGCTTTGCACCTCGAGCTGCTCGTGGTGCTCGTGTCGTAAGCGCAGCAGTTGCTCACGCAGCTCGCGCTGTGCCGCCTCGGAGAAGCACGATTGGCGCAACCCAGATTGGTAGCGTCTTTGTTCCTATAGGCCGATCGTCGGCCCCTCCCCTTTGAACCTGTATGACTTGCGATCTGTATCGCGAGCTAGCTACCTGCCCCTTGCAACGGGTGCAGGACGTGTAGAAAATAAGGAGAGAGAGAATGAAAAACCAGTCACGAAGTGAAGGTCCCCAAAAGCGCATCTATTTAGGAACGTAGAAGACTAACACTTCACGTATGCCCAAGTTCAACCTTACCTTGTTACAAATAACATCAAACATTAGATTTGGACGACATTTCGCTTGATATTATGAAATCGAAGGTCAAAATTCTGGATGACTTCATCAAGGGATTCGATCATGACAGGAAGGTCACGATGGACTTGCACCGACTCGATAACCTGTGCAACTTTGGGATAGTTTGGTCAAACTGGTCAACCACGAAACTCCAAGTGCATCTGACTAGAGTTTACCTTGTCATAAGCTGTGTGTAACTGCCCTGTTGCATGCTTGATGAGATATCTAGTAGGTTGGAACATGTTGGAACCCATTGCTTCTAGATGGAGGCCATCGCTGTCAGGTTGGAGGCCATTGCTTCTAGGTTGGAGGCAACCGTTCTTCGGTTTCTTTTATATATATCTTTTCTTTCCCTTTTCTTTTCTCTCATCTGGTAGTAAAGCGAACCATCTGCCTGCACATTCTGTGAACGCTGAACCTCTGGACAGTGATACGGTCGTGGACGTGACACTCCGTCCGAATCATCGGAAGTCCGGTCTGCATCAATTCAGAGAAGGCTACCGCAAGATCTTACCATGCAATCCCTGAAATGGAGGTAGCAAGAGTGTGTTGATTCACAGGATCCGGTTCTATAGGGCTCGAGCCATTGGGGAACACTTTCCAAACTTTCAAGGCGACGTCTCAACGCCATGAGCATACACTATTCCAAATTCATCCAAATTCCAAGTGCAGGATGGAAGGCATTCTTGAATTTCGATGGACCAGAAGGGGTATGAGAAGATGGAGACGATGCCAGCCTTGTCCCGGCACTCCGTCTTCGATCGTTCTTCGATCGTTCTTCGAGTTCTGCACGGAGTGCGCCATTCCCCACCCGAGCCTCTGCCGCCTCACCTTCCTGGCTGCGACTCCAGTCTTCGGTGACGGAGACAGGGGAGCTGCGGAGTCAGCTTGGTGGCCGCACCACCAAAACGGGGGTGAAGAAAAGACAACTCAGATGGCCTCACCTACGAACGGAACAAGGGCATCGGACGCTACGAAGGGGGCGAAACTGGCCTTAAAAAACGAACCGGAACAAGTAGCGGTTCTAGTTACTCTGATCCACTCAGAGGTCTGGCACGGAATCATTTTCCGCCCCATCGAACCTGTCTCAAATGCCCCAGTTGATCCGGTGATCATTTGAAAGAAATAAACAAGAAACCTAATAGCGATATAGCCTCCAACCTAGAAGCAATGACCTCCAACCGAATAGCAAAAAGGAACCCTGGTAGTGATGGCCTCCAACCTACTATTTGTTTGCTTGCTTCCAGTAGCGATGCCAGGAGCAAGGCCAGGAGCCCCTAGTAGCGTCCTTGCTCCTAGTAGCGATGGCCTCCAACCTGCTTTTCACCCTGGTTTCGACGACTCTCGAACTCGCGAAGAACCGAAGAGGCCTCTGCCTGGAGGGTGGGGAGCTTCGTCTCTGGCCACGGAGGCAGAACCTCGGTGGCAAACATTGTAGCGATTGCTCCTAGGACCAAGGTGGTGAAAGTAAAGTGACGGTTTTTGCGGTCTTACCAAACCTGAATCCTGGATGCATGATGACACATGCATCTCAGAAAGGAACCTCTCGCCATCTCTCGCCCAGTTTCTTCGTTTTAGACAGGGGCCGGAACCGATCAAATTCGAAGTTCTCATGACTTGAGTTGCAACTGGGTCTAAAAGACGTTGATCTCTTAACAGGGTTGAGTTGGCCTCAGCTGGCCAAATGGCGACAGCAAAAGCCTCGAAGAGAATGTGGGAAAGGTGTGTCTCAAGATAGGGTGCCCAAACAACTCTAGTGACTCTAGTAGTTGAAACTCTGGCGGCCCTGGAAAGGCCCGCAGTTGGCTTTCTGAGTTGGAGCTCCATGCTGGAAGATTGAGTGGGATCAACCAAAGAACACCACACCGCATTGCTCTCAGCGCCCTGGGCAAGCGAGTCGCAATATAATAACAACATATGTTCAACCATAAGCAAGCTGCGGCAAAGAAAGCTTCGTGCAACAACCTATGGGTGGCTACCCACTCACAAATAGAGTTGGAAGAAACACAACAGCTCAGAATCAGCTGTCAAGATCTCTTAACCCCCGAAGCTGGTTGAAACTGGGTCTGTATGCTGGGATTCCGGGGAAAACTAGGCCGAACACCCCGTCGAAATCGTCGAAGCGCCGAACACATCGGAGTTGACATCCTAGTAGCCTTCTTCTAGCTACTAGTAACAAGTGCCACGCTAGTAGTAACAGGTGCCTTACTAGTAGTAACAAAAAGCTATTAGAATTAACTTAAATAGCTTCTTGTTACTACTAGTAAGGCACTTGTTACTAGAAGCGATGCACTTGTTCCTAGTAGCCTTCTTGTTCCTAGTAGCCTTCTTGTTCCGAGTAGCGATGCCCTTTGCTCCTAGTAGCGCCCTTGTTCCTAGTAGTAAGGCCAGGAGCCCCTAGTAGCGTCCTTGCTCCTAGTAGCGATGCCAGGAGCCCCTAGTAGCCTTCTTGTGTAAGGCCAGGAGCGCCCCGTTCGTAGCGTCCGATCGCTCCGTTCGTAGCGATGCCCTTTGTTACGAACGTAGCTTCTTTTGTTTCTCATAGCGATGGCCCCCAACTTACTAGCGATGGCCTGCACTCTACACCTGAGATGCCCGACTGCCACTGGCTGGAGTAAACTGCTTCGTTCCTCGCTTCCCACAACCTGGAACACGCTTCCGTCAGACTGTAGGATTGATCGGAGAGGTTTGGCCTCAACCCATGTCCACAATGAAACCAAATGGCTGAGCTCCAGCCGCTGAGCTCACGCTGTCGAATTCGTAGCGCCCTCAACTATACTCGCAGCTATTGGGGTCCAAAACTGCGCGCAGCTGCTGCAGTTTGGAAGAGTGTTTTCGGTATCTGGTGATAGATCGTAAGATGGCAGAAGCCACTCCACACTTCTCAGAAACTTGGGCAGGACACTTGTCGTCCCGTCTCAAACGCTGTCGTTTCCAAACGCTGCCTCTTCGTCCAAACACTGCAGGTCTGGAGCTGCAGAGAAGACCGCGGAGCGGTAGCCTGCGATGTGTGGCGCAGCGGGACAATGGTAGTGTAGCTCCAAACCTGTCAAGAAACAATCTAATTACAGTAGTAGGATTACTGTCTATCTTCCATTGTCATAGATTGGTGGTCAATCTTAACGTGTTGGTCTCAAAAACACTAAAAACCATCGGCATGAGCCTGATGGGACCAAGTGGATGTTTCTAGTAGCAAGAAGCTATTAGGGTGGAGGCCATCGCTATGGGGGTTGTGCTTCCAACTGATGGGGCTCGTGACCTGCCTGGCAGCCGGCAGATCGGGTTGCCCCGCTGTCCTGGCCACAAAGGTCTGGTCTTGGAGGTGTCAAACAACTTACTCAATACAACGTCCATCTTACAAATCAATGGGAAGGGTAAATTTGCTACGCAGGTGTTACGTTGCAAATCGTTTCAAAAGTGTACTGGAGGGAGTCATCAACATGGCAGGATAAACTCACGAAGTGAGATTCAGCTGGATCTTCCGTACAATGGTCCACCACCATGGACCTTCACTGAAGTTCACTAGTCTCATGCTACCAAGTGGTCCTTCTTTCTGTGGAAGAGCATGTCACACACACGGTACCCGCAATCTGCAGAAAAACCCAGCGGCAGAACACAGAAAAAGACCCGTCCAGTTCCTGCCAGTCGATCTACTCTCTTTGATCGAAAACAATTGTGCTTTCTCCGCTTTCCCTGGTAGCCGACTTCTACGACATCTTCACTGTACGTAGCTGCTGTACCAGGGTCGCATCTGGACTGAAGTGACTTCGCGAGTGGCAGGAGTAGGATGTAACAGGTCACTACTAGGGGCAAGGACGCTACGAACGGGGCTCCTGGCATTACTAGGAACAAGAGGACGCTACGAACGGGGCTCCGGGCATCGGTACTAGTACTGTAACAAGTACTTCGCTCCATAAACTGGACCGCTCCTCCTGCAGCTTGGAAACGTAGATCCTGGCAAAACGCAAATGGCGCTTCTTCCCAGGCAAATCCGGCAAACTGCCCGATTTGCAGCTAAGAGATGGCAAATTTATAAGTCAACCAGACATGGTGGTGCAAAGCTTTCAAAGAGGTTCGTTTATCGGATGACCCTTTGCCCAGCTTTCGTTGCCACTGGTTTGGGCTATATCTTTGTTGGCCTGGACTTGAGGGTGTTTTTGTATGCCAGTGTATACATATAGTATATAGTTTATATGATCCATGTGCTAGAACGCCCTGTGGCAATCTTCACTATATGTCTCATGCCCCCAGAAAAACCCAGAGTAAATCATGTGGGTCCCCCGACTGTGGAGCTTTGGCATGCTGACAATGTCAGGGTAAGAAGTCTCGGATGAATCACGAAGGAAACGAAACGGACCCTGTGATCCAGTCTTTTGGGAGAAGATAGACAAACAAGAAACACTCAAATCACACACGATCACCAAGAGGTTTGGTGGGTTTGGTCAAAGTTTCAAGATCAAACAACAACCTTCGTTCCTCGGTGAAGAATGCAATTCCTTCGGTGGACTTGTTATAGAACCTGGGCACCACTGGGCGCGGCCCGGTGGGAGGAGATCCCCCGAGCCTTTCGACATCGAACTCCGGTGTTCCGCCTCCAAAGGGAGGCCACCCAGGAACAGCAACTGCCCCAGGTGCCTGGGTGACGAGACTGCGAGGTCGTCACGGTGGGAGAACAAGTCTTGGGAATGCCGGATTCAATCGTAGCTTCTTGCTCCTAGTAGTAAGGCCAGGAGCGCCCCTAGTAGCGTCCTTGCTCCGTTCGTAGCGATGCCATTTGCTCCTAGTAGCTTCTTACTGCCCAAAAAACCAGAAGCGATTTCGGTGAAATACACTGCTTGCGAACCGGTCCAATTCTACCTCACGAACAAATTGACGGAGTTTGAATTCATGCAGTTCCGAACTTACAAGCAGGATTGACGCTTCGACAGAATCACATTCTGTGGGGAAAGCCAGTCTCTCGAGGAATGCTACTTCAGGCCAATTTGATGTTGCATGGCAATACTGGAACCTCTTGGAAGGAACCTGCGATTGGATCTCAACAATCCTTGCAAGAATGACTAGCAAGAGTTGGCTTTTACTGACAAACATCTTAATTAAGTTAAATCTGCACTCTACTCCACTCTGGGATACTTTGGGATCGAAGTCAAACCATCCACTTGATGGGTCTCCATTGTCCACGGTCTCCGCGAATTTCCTATCTCCCGAGCGCCGCGCGCCACAGCATTGTCGCGCAAGTCCAACAACTTGAGCCTAGCAGCTCAGCAAGCTAATAGCTACCAAACTACTTTATCTATTTAACCTACTAGCTATTTAAGTCTTCTGGAAAATGCCTCCAACCTAGTAGCGATGGCCTCTGCCCTAGTGGTGATGGGCTTTGAAGTACGGGAAGGAACGATTGCGGCAAAGCTCCGGCTTTTTCTTTGCAAATGAAGATTTGTTGATTTGCACCCTGAGAGCCTGAGTCTTCTGTGCCAATCAACCAAACTACATGGAAGACCTCCAAATGCCACCGCTAGATGCAAAAAGCATCCAAGTTTTCGCCCCCAGCGAGCCCCCAAAGTGTACTTGTTTTGTGGACGGTTCTCCAACCTAACCTGTCCCAATTCCTGCTCTCATGGATTGTGCTTAACTTTCTTGTACAGTTCCGGCAGCTCTGGCAGCTGAGAGCCCTTGCTGACTGCCAGGGCGTAGCGCCGCCAAAGGCTCCAAATGGCCTTTGAGGGACTGAAGCAAGTGGAAGTAACATGACCGGGAGTGGAGCTTAGAAATGGCCTCCAACTTACTAGCGATGGGCTCCAGCCTAGTAGCAAGTAGTGTAACATGACCTTTCTTAGGGCATGGTGGGTTTTCTTGGGACCAACCCTGCATGGCCGGTCATTGCGCCACCAAGTCCGAGCCTGATCAACTACCAGGTTTGAGGTTTCGGAGATCCGGATGCTAACAACATGTCACCCAAATGGGCGAACAACACCAAGGGCTGCGGTCGCAGCCCCAAGTGCGGCAGCACATCGAAGATGCGCCGTCTGTCTCTCCGAGCCAACTGGAAGGGCACGAGTCGACGAAAAACCATGTAAACGAAACACTTGTTCTCCTTTTTGCAGTGCGGTTCTGGGCAGAACGAAAGGAAAAAACACACTTGAGGCCGAGGGTAGGTGACGAAAGCTAGCAGGGGTGCATCCGGACTGGTGGGACATCAAGCGGAGTGAGGCAAATGCTCATGAGGTAAAACGTTGTGAACATGTAAGACACACAAACAGCAATGACACAGCCAACCTTAGAATTGAAGTCCCCGATAATTAAGGAAGCGTGGCTGGACTTTGCCACACTGTTCGATGCATCCGATGTGTTCACGAACCGGTGAGCTTGTTGAATCTGTTGCACCGTATCCCAAAACCTCCACGGAGGAGTTGAACCAGTGTGGATGCCATAAGAGGTGCCCAAGAGGTGTCCCAGAGGCAAAACAAAGCTGCTTGCATGATTTGTTTGGTTTCTTCTATCGATGTCGATGTCATGAACATGTGAGCTTGTTGAATCTGCTGTTGCATCGTCATGTATATGTAATGAGGGACTGAAGAAAAGCAACGCAGCATCATGAGCATCACGGGAAGTCACAAACCAGGCGTATCAGATACACCTGGTTTATGTATGTTTGTTTGAGCATCTTTGTCGAGTGAAGTGTCAGCCATATGCACTGAGATGCCGAAGGAAGCTCAAAGGCACGTGTATCTGATACGCCTGGTTTCAAACTTCCCGTGATGCTCATCATTGAAGCCTTGAACCCTCGCGTAAATTTCATGTTTCATGCCCCCCCTTCCAAACTCAAACAGTGGCCTACTTCACCTGCCACCTAAACATAGCACTATAGCACGTACCGGAAGCGTCCCAGGGGGGAGTTGAACCCGTGGGGGGGGGGGCCCCCCTACACGTGAAGTTTTCACGTGATTCATGATTCTCGAGGCTGCGAGCCCTTGACTTGCTAAAGCAAGAGCAACTCCAGCTAGCTGATGCTAGCTTTCGTGATAAAAACACAACAAACGCCAAAAGAAAAACCAAAAATATCTGAAGAATATTTGAACACATAGAATCTGTGCCGGGATTCAGTGGAGTGGTGCAAAACAACAGGGACAGAACCATGGCCAAAGTGGCATCGCTGTCGAGGTAACGGTGCGACAGATTTTGACGTCGATCTGCAGGGACGCACCCTCTGAGTCCGTCGGGCCATCGCCTTCTAGTAGCAAGATGCTACTAGGGTGGAGGCCATTCCTATTAGGTTCCTTTTGCTACTAGTAACAAGAAGCTTTCTAGCATGTCTTTGAAGTTCTTAGTAACAATAAGCTACAAGGTTACAAGGATGGAGGCCATTACTGCTAGCAAGGACGCTACTAGGGTGGGCATCCGACCTTTCTCATCGGCACGCAACTCATGAGCATGTCCTTCATCACCATCCTCTTGTCCTTCATGAGTACGTTCGATTGCTCTTCCAAAGTGCTGCTGGACATTTAGCCATTGAGACAAGCCCTGTTCTTTCCACTCAAGATGCACCAAACAACAGACTGTACGATGCTTCTTTGTCCGTCAGCCTCTGTACGACGCTTCAACGAACTCGATGCAGTCCACTGTGATGATGCGCCATTGTTTTCAGCTGCATGGTTGAGGAAGGATGAACCTGTTGTCTCGTCACAGTTGTCACCGTTGTCACTTTGGGGCCCGTGTAGTCACAATGACGATAGGTCTTGCGATGGAGCACTGGTGTAAAGTCAGGCAGTGCCCTGAACCTCATTCTAGGTTGGAGGCCATCGCTACTAGGGTGGAGGCCATTGCTATTACAGTAGGTTGAAACCACCATTACAGTTGAGCTTGTAGCTTGTGCAGTTCCTCCAGCCGTATTTCTTGAATAATACATAAGTCACATGAACACTCACTTTGCGTTCGTGACTCCCAGCTCTTTCCTCAAAAAAACAACCATCTCCGAGACAGTCTCCTAAATCAGACGAGACAGTCTCCGAGACAGTCACTGATCAGTCTCTTGGGCTTCTCCTCCCAGTCTCTTGGGCGACTCCTCCCTCTACGTTTCCGGGCTGATCTGGTTGTAGGCCACCCGGAGCTCCTCCAAAGTGTGAGGGATCGGTGGGAAGGGAGAGACCAAGAAACAACACAGGAAGCGATGTCTTGTTTTTTTTTCACTTTTTCTTTGCTTCTTTTCTGTCCTTTTCTTCTTTCTTCCTTCTTTCTCTTTTCTTTTTTTGATGGTCTTTCTTTCTTCTTTTTGTTTAAGCCCAACATGCTTGGAGATGCTGAAGAGATAAGCTCCACTGATCCAGTGTTGTCTCCTTCCTCTTCCTAAAAGCTTGGGCCGCTTGGGGCAACTCGAGGAACGGGGAACTGCCAAGGTGTTTTTCTCCAAAGGTATCCGGCAAAGACATTTTCGATACAACATCAGAGTGTTTGTGGAGTAGATGTTTGCTTATAGGGGTAAAGTAAGAACTGCTTGCCAAACAACCTGTTGTCTTACCCAGATCTCTCCTTGGGGGAAGTGTCTCTGTGCAAGTTCTTCACCGTCTTTGGTCAAACAAATGCATGTCTGCGAATTCCAAAACTGCATTATCGAAGCACTTCAAATCTACATTTGACATAGCTACTTGCATGTCCACCACCCACTCAAAGGGCACACGTTGACCCTTTGATACCGAAAAATATAACCTCTTCTTTGAAGCTAGGCCAACGATCCACAACATGCATCCAAACACCCAAACCAGCCAAGTGAATCGCTGGAAACCATCCACAACCTCTCCCCATCGCCCTCTCTCCATCCACCGGTCACGACCTGCAAGCGTCGTAGCTTCCCGAGGCCGTCGAGGTTGGAGAGGCAGTTGCACGAGAGGTCCAGGAGCCTCGGGTTTGAGAGACCCGCCACCCTTCGTGGTCCCAAATCCGAATCTGCGAAAAAGGAAGGTAAAGGTGATTTTAAAAGGAAACTTAATTCTATTCTAATTCTGTTTATTGTTTCCAATAGCTTCTTGCTCCTAGTAGTACGGCCAGGAGCCCCTAATAGCGTCCTTGCTCCTAGTAGCCATGCCAGGAGCCCCTAGTAGCATTCTTGTTCCTAGTAGCGTCCGATCGCTCCGTTCGTAGCGATGCCCTTCCGTTCGTAGCGATGCCAGGAGCTACTAAGTAGCGGGACATGTTCAATCAGATGAAAAAAGGAGCTTCTCTTTCGATCGTTTCAGATTCCGTTTGTTTGGACGTTTCCTTCGATCCCCGATGATCCCCCGCCTGAGTTGCTGCAAGCCCTGGAGACCCTCGAGGTTTTGAAGGTCGTTGGAACTGACGGTGAGCTCCTCCAAAGCGGGACACACCTCGGTCGACCGGGCCAAACACACACCGTTGGCGTGGAATCGTTGGTTGTGTGTTGCTTTTTGCAATGGATAGTTCAAACGGTGCACCGTCCTGCCCAAATGATGACAATCCATGCTGGTTGCCTCGCGACAGTTGGTGGAAACTACATCAGATGTCAACACAGAACACAACCAGAATCTCTGGATGCAACTACACAGTCTCAATAACCATAGGAACTGCTAGTAGAGCTTTCCGTGGCAGAAAGATATCAAGTTGCTGGTTTTCCCTGGCTATTCAGTGGTTCACACATGATGTACCCACGACATACTTTAAACCAATTACTTGCAAACAACTAGTTGTCGAGCCTCCAAACAAGTTCAGACCCCGACTTATGTCGTTCACATGTACAATTGCCAGCACAACTAACCTGTTCACATACACCATACGTTTTTAGACCAGGCACATAATTACTGTGTGCAGCAAGCAAAAGAGTTTTAGATGAGATCTCGGTGTCAAGGGTGTAACCAAGATGTTTCGACACTGTTAACCTCCATCAAGATTCACCTGCTCGGGACTGCTGGGCCTCCCTGCCGCATCCAAGCCCCGTAGGGAGCGGAAGGCATTGCCATGGAGGTGCAGGAGCCGGAGCCTCCGGTCTCCCAAACCGCCAAGTGCGTCAGTTCCGTCGCAGGATCGGGAAAGAAAGATGTGGATCGGAGGATCGCATCTCTTTAACATGTCCAGTCTCAGATTTCTTTTTCTCCCAAGGATCATCTGCTAGGTTGGAGGCCATCGCTAGTCGCTTTGTTTTTCCCAGTGCCCAGGAACTCCTGGCGTTGGGAGGCCGGTCACTGGGGTTCGGTGCCAAGCCGATCTTGACCCAGGCATCACACAATTCACCAGTGTGACGGAATAACATCAGCGATCAAGCAGAATCTGTCCCAGTATCTTCACCTACTCTGATCAGGGGCGGCTTGGTTCTTTCGATGCCTCTCTTGGCGCGCTGGCCTCCGCCCCTCTGGCGCGTTGAGCTGTGGGAGGTCGCACAAGCCCTGCAAGCCACAGCGTAGCAAGCGGAGGCTTTCCCTGCCGCGATGTGGGTCCAGACAGCAACCGGATGAAGACTGGTTGCATCCTTTCTTGAGGTTTATCACATAGTATCATACAAAAAGGAGCTATTAGGTTGGAGGCCACAGCTTCTTTGGGTTGGAGGTGATCGCTAGTAGGGTGGAGGCCATCGCTATTAGTATCCTACAAAAAGGAATCCGTCCACAAATGTCTGATACTAACCACCACTTTGGGATTTCATATTTCTTTTGGAGGATCCTCCAAAACTAGCCGTTGTCAAAGACTCTCAGCTTCTCATCGAAAAACAATTTGGTCCGCATCATGTCTTGATAGAAGGAAGACTCAACGAGAACCCATCGGTTGGTTGTTTTGCATCATACGAATGTTTGCAAGACAATTCTAATGATCTGGTATTGTTACCATACTACCAGATGCCACCCACAACTTCAAACAAGAATCTACTCTACTGTCCCCATGGGCGCCTCCTTTTAGTCGCTTCTTGCTCCTAATAGCGATGGCCTCCAACCGAATAGCGATGCCCTTCGCTAGTGGCTTCTTGTTCCTAGTAGTAAGGCCAGAGGCGTCTTGGCCCAAGCCTTCGCGAGGCGCGCCTGTCGCCCCCACTCCCTGGTGGGGGTACGAATTGGGCCATGAGAGCCCACGGAGGGGCGCGCGATGGTATCATCCGCCACCTGTTTCATGCGGAGACTCGGTGGCGTGCCGATTCCAAAGAAGACCTTTTGCCACACCTGGTCTTACATCGACACCGTGACTTTGCAGTGGTCGAGTGCATAAAGACAGATGGTACCAAGTGCATCTTGAAAGTGTCTCATTCAGTTCTTGCCTGCATGAACACTTGTGAGTCTTCGCAGATGTATACCTGGAAGATTGGAGGGTGTCTTCAGATGGGTATCGTTCGACCTGCCGACACTCAGGTGCTGCCGGATCCTTTTTTGATGCGCGATCAACCAAACATACCTCCTGGATGCACTGATCCGCTTTATCGACCGATCCCGGAAACTTTCGAGCCATGGGCGCAAGACTATGCCCGCTCTGAGTCGGTAACAGGTTTCGGGCTTATCCAAGAAGACACTGCATTGTGGGAACCATGGTGCTGGAGATTTGTCAACATACAATCGACTGGCACACAGACGACCTGCAAGCATCAGGCCCATTCTGGTGACGCTGACAGTTTTTCAACAGTATCAGACGAAGCCATCCCATCTACACAAAATGGTCAGACCTCAGTGAACTCTCCGACTTTATCTCCAACAAGCATGGTCGACCCTGATGTGACACTTCAGTCACACCATGACTTTGGGGGAGCACAGGTTTTCCCACAGGAAGATCCATTTCTAATGATGGAGCCATGGGCCTATGCATATGCGCCGCATGACATGAATGGTAGTACTCTCACGGATGTCAACGAAGACCAGTATTTTGAACCATGGAGTGCGCATTTCATATCCTCAGAGATGCGTGCTGAACAGGCCGATCCTGGCCTTTTGTCATCAGATCACTCCATGCAACCACGGTGTCAATACACCTTTTCACACCGTGTCTCAACATGGTTCAAGGCGATTTTCACGTCCATGCCAACGGGGTCGTGTTCAGACGGTTTGAAGTCGTGCTTCGCATCATACCCCATAAACACGAAGCACTGTTGGGAAGATGTGTCAGGTCTACACCCGCCTTACTGTGCAAGGTTTGAGCCCTTTCCTGGTCAGTTTGGGAACAAGCAAAGGAGACAATATGAGTATGCCAAAACGACTGACCCTGATATTGCAATTTTGTCTGAGACTTCATTTCATTTGCCTCCAGATGTGCCAATACTGAACACAAGAGTCTCTCTAATTCGAGAGGGCCATTTTGGCCCACCACAGCATGCCGACCGTCAAGACTTAATTCATCAGGCCACTTGTGTCGACGTTCCTACTATGTCTATCTTCGCAACAGCTTTTCATTGCTGGACAGCATTTCAAGCAAGTTGTACAGTTCGTTTGACAACTGTACGAGATGTCCTCATTCCTCCTTGTTTGCCACTGTTCCAGCAATTGCATCCAACTTGTGTTGGTCAACACGAGATTATATCGCAACGCAATAATACCAACCGTGATGTAACGAATGCTTTGGAGATTCAAACACCAGAATACATCAGACCAACTATGGCAGTTTCGTTAGGCCAATCAAGATCAGTACTCGTGACTTGGCATACAGGTTTTTGCCATAAGAATGACCCAGGTCGAATCGCTCCTGTTCCACTATATCAAAACATCAATAGTGGGGATGTACTTGATTTTGCAATCTCATACAATCAGAACGCAGAGTACTTTAACAGTGTGACTCCAGCGACATACGAGAGCATTGATTGGCCTCGGCAATATTCGGGATATCGTGCTCCAAGACCTTTCGTGATCTTCTCTTCTGGTCTTACAAGCTTTCAGCCTTTTCTGTCAGGACAAATGACATCGGACCCAGAATTTGAGTCACCAACTGAACCCTTAAGGGATGGGCGTCAGCAACTCCTTGCTCTTCAACATCAGAATAGTGATGTTTTAGGTATGGTACAAACTTCAGCTGAAGTGACTGACAATCCCTGCAGATGTCCTACACACCAAAAAGCTGACCTTTCGATCATCAGTCGAAATGATTCCGACATCTTTGATAGTGCCTCCTATTACAACAGATCTACCACACCGTTTGGTAGGGAATCCCCTGTTCCCTTCACTGAGGGGGAAATACAGGTCCACCAAAGTCCTGTCGGCAATGCCATACACGCGGAGCGGTCTACCCGTTTGATTTTTGACTGGGCCAGAACGGGAGCACGGTTCGCATGCAACGGAGCAAAGTCCATGGGTAGCTCGTCCTACTTCAAGGAGAGTTACACTCAAATTTGCCAGAACAGATCTATCTTTGCGAATGACACTCGACAAGACCTACAGGGAGGTATTACTTCCACTTTTTCTGCCCATGTGTGGCCTCACAGTTCAGCATCTCTCCTACTTGATCATTTAGAACTGTATATCAGCTGTCAATCAGATTGGAAGGAATCTGTTGCAAATGCAATTGATGTCACCAGTCATGTGCAAGCTCTACCACATCTCACCATATCAAGTGGGGCTGTACCCATTCACAACCGTGGCACTATGGATTGTTTCCTCACAAGCGAATATATTCCAATTCTTTCGACACTACAGACAGACATACTGATTTCGAAGCAGACTCTTCCACCTCCAAGGC